TACTACTAGTAACAAGAAGCTATTAGGAACAAAGGGCATCGCTACTAGGAGCAAAAAACGCTGCTAGGAACCTTTATCCCTAACGATCTGGCTTTCCTTCGTGGACTCCCTGGACCGACGCAGGGCGCCGGGGGTGCTCCTGGGTGAAAGGCCCTTGTTCCTCCTGCGTCAACGCTTTGAAGAAGACCTGCCAATGGGATCATGGAAAAGACCACAGATCATCCAATGATCATGCAGCTTCCCAAATAACATGCACTGCAACCTCCGAATGAACTCAGTGACTCAAGCTTGTCCTTTCTTGCCATCATAGACACAATTTATCCCATCTTTGGACCCTACAACTCGTCCTTAGTGATCCTGCTCCTGATCCTCGTGATCCTCCCCCCAAACCGCGCCACTGTGTCCACAGTGAGAGATTCTGCCTCTAGCCTCGGATGTGCGCTTTTTGGCGGTTTCCCAAAGGCCGCAACAAAGGGATCATCGTTTGATTGCTTCGTTTAGCATCTAAAATGCGTTGATTGAAAGCAGGAGGTTTTTGTGATGCTTCTTATTTCACGGACTCCGAACGCAACAAGAGGAAGCAACTAGTAACAAGTGCCACGCTAGTAGTAACAGGTGCCTTACTAGTCGTAACAAGAAGCTAGTAGTAACAAGTGCATCGCTACTAGTAACAGGTGCCGTCATATTGAGTACCGCGATTTTGCCACTTGATCTTTCTGTGTGTGGTCGTTGACATGGTCTGAGTATGCTGCAGGGCTCCCAGATCATCATCGTCTTTCTCCTCTTTCTCCTGCGATTGAGACTGGATTGAGTCCTAGCAAGACCTCCCCCAAACATGCCTTCCAAGCATGTTTTGCAACCCCATTTGAAAAGCTCCCGACAATCACGCATCTGTTTTGCTATGGCGTTTGCTTCAGCTGTGTGTCACGATAGATGGCTGCATGAATGTCGACCTCGGAGAGTGGCGTGAGTCGTGCGATTTCGTTCCTGTGACCGAGAAAACCCGAGAGGTTCGACCAAGTGATGAAAACGTTTGGACGAACAAATGCGCCGCATCCTGTTGTCGTGGCTTGGCAACAAGAAGCTACTAGTAACAAGTGCCACGCGAACGTAGTAACAAGTG